AGAAGAAGAAGAGCGAGCAAGGATGAGGAAGGAAGTTGTGGATGATGAGGAAGAAAGAAAAGAAGAGGTGGTTCTTGATCTTTTCCTAGGGGAGAGACCACATTTTGAAGAAGGAAGGGGGGTTGAGGAAGCAATTGGCGTCCAGGCTGAGGATGAAGTTGAGGTGGAAGAGGCATGCACCGGCCATGAGTTGCAAGTAATATCCCCACCAAACTTTGAGGAACTGCTTGGCAAGGACCCATTTGCAGTGTCTCTTTGCCAGACCAAGGCCACATCGACATCGGTCCCTCTTGGTGGACGCGATGGTGGTCGGTCGATGCTGTCATATCTGGTTTGGGGCAATGAGACGAGAGAAGAGAAGAAGAGGTCTCGAGGGTGGAGACTTCATCTGCATCAAGTACATGAGCCTTCATCACCTGCCACACCACATGCTCGTGACTTGAGACTCCACCTCATCGACGAGAACCTCAACTTCAAGGAGGTTATAGCATGGACCGAAACTTAGGAGCCATCGTCCGGCTCACGACGTGAAAGAAGCGCTTGTTGGGAGGCAACCCAACCAGTCGGTTTGCATTTCTTTCTCTATTTCTCCTCGGTTGAGTCAGTTTTGTTATTTGATTTTAGAGTCAATAACTCAACCTTTGTGAGATTTTGTGTGGTGTTTGTGTTCTGATTACTCTCTCTTCCTGGAATGCACTGCCTGACCCGTACATCATCATTCACCCTTGATCTGGTAACTTCGTTCTACCCTCCTTATCTTTCCTCCATTGAGGACAATGTCGTGCTTAAGTGTGGGGGGGTGTTCGATTATGTATGCGGGTGAATGTTTGGCTGTTTGTGTGCTTGGAGCCTAGTTCACTGTCCAAATTTTTAAATTTGAGGGCTCCAAGTATGTGTTTCCTTGCAAATTGCCTGCTCAGTATGCTTTGAATTGACAGTCTCTATAGTAATGTGCAACCTAGGGAGGTAGTGTAGCACTATGGAGGATGTTGAAGTATAAGATTTTTCCTATCTAGCTCTCTGTTGTGCCAGTTGATTTTGTGAATTAGTGGAGCTAAGACCGTTGAATTCATGTGGTAATGGTTACTCTGTTTGGATTATGTTATGGACTCGTGTATCGAACAGGGTGCTCATATGGAAAATGGGAAGCAGTTGGTCCTCCATGTCAAAATCATTAAATCTTAAACATGGGGTAAGCCCAACGTGTGCGGCACCGTTCATTGCACAAAATCGGGTTTTGGAAGAGATTTTAGTGATCCTTAGTGGGGTACTCCTACAAGGTGAAGCTAAGTTGTCTCTAGTACAAGTAAAACTTCCACCCGTTGAACGGTTTGCCTACTTGAGGATGTGTTTTTAAGGGCACAGATAGAGCTTCCGACCCCCCTTAATTTCATTGACCCTCCACACGAGTTGAGGAAAAGAAGTTAAAAGAAGTACTCTGGCGAGCTCCAGATGTACAGAAATTGCTCTTGCTCGACTAATAAGGGTCGACCGTGCAAAAGACTGCAGTTGGAACCCCACCAAATGAAAGAAAAAAATGTAAATGAAAGTGAGAAAAAGGGGTTCCAACGGTGAAATGAAGTGAAAGAGCACCCCGGTACAACGAATCCTTGGTTGTGAATGGTGTGAGTCCCTTTATCCATGAACTGACTGTCTTACTTCTACTTTTTCTCATGATCCTGGCTTGAGTCTAGTACTCGCATTGAAAGAGATAGGGAACGTCTTAGAAGACCAGTTGACCTCGTAAGCTGCTATATGATCTAGGAAATCCTCTACCGACGATCGGGGTTGTATGTTGCTATAGAGCTCTGGAGAGCTGCATTGGTTTGAGTTAGGTTTGCTTGGGGACAAGCAAATAGTTAAGTGTGGGGGGATTTGATGACTCGGTATTTGCACATGTTTTCCCATTTGTTTCTTGATTGTTTGAGCTTGAATTATCGTGTCTTTGGCCTATTTTACGCTAGGTTGTGTTCCTTTGTCACATTTCAGGTCCTAGCACATAAAGTGAAGCATAGGCGCAAGTTTCAAGTCAATCAGAGATCAATTGACGATTCGGGAGAAGAAACTCGGGTATGACCTGAAGAAGAATGGATTTCTACCTCACTTTATGGAAAAAGAATCATGAAAGCTTTTCATGAAAAGAAAGAGGACGAGACTACGAGCGTCTGGGATCAAACGGCGACTGATTCGGAGTCCGGACGAGGGAGAAACGAAGCATTAAACAGAGGCTGAGCAAGCCACACGGGCACAACCCACACGGCCGTGTGACCTGGCCATGTGGCCGTGTGACCTGGCCATGTGGCCGTGTGGAAATCACCGAGCCTTCACACGGGCAGCTGGGAAAGCCACACGGCCGTGTGGCCTAGCCGTGTGAGTCGGGAATTGCTGTTTAAAACCCGATTTTCAGCAAAAGGAAAGGGGGAGAGCTGGGTTTTGGATCCCAAACACCCAAGGGACGAACCCTAGAGAGAGAGAGAGAGCGACTTGGGAACATTCTTGGAGCTATTTTGGAGGATTTCTTCGCCATTGGAGCTCGGGAATCAAGCTTGGAGATGGAGATTGAAGATCTAGATCAGATTTCTGCAGTCTCTCTCTTCTCTATGGAGTAACTTCCCTTCACTTAGGTTTTGAGGAACCTTAGTTCCATGAGTTAGGATCTTTCTTGTATGAAGTTTTGGATGCTATATTGTTTGATTATAATCGAATGATGCATGTTTATTGAGTCAATTGAAGTCTGATCAACTTTTCCTGATTCCTGCTGCAATCTGAGATAGATAGAATCTGATTAGGTTGCTAGAGTCTCATCATTCGGTAGTAGGAGATTGGCTATACGAGAGTTAGCCAGTTTACTGCTTTGTACTGGAATCCAATTCCAGTAGTGGAGTTCTGTGCTTATTGCTTCAGCTTTCTATCCCGGTGAAGACTAGTCGTCTGCCGGATAGTTAGACTGAGAGGGCTTGGTCAGCTTAAGAGACTCCAAGCTACTGTCGGATCTTCCGCAGTTTAATCAACAGTAAATCAACCAAAAGGAATTACAACTTGGACCTAATTGAGGAGCTAGGGGGAATCATACCTAAGTGAGTTCCCAAACTGTAATTAGTAGTTTTACTTAGTTTAGTTAGTAGAGTAGTTTAGTTAATCAATCCTTAATCTAGTTTGCTAGATAATGAACTGAAGCTGAGTAATAGTAACTCTAGAGACCCGTGGATTCGATATTTATTACTTGTGCCACTATACTGCAGTCCCTTTCATTGGTTACACTTGGCCATTGTTAGGTGTTGTGTTTTAGAGCATCAGTGGGCACCAAAATGTTTGTGCCTGGATTGTCCCAGGCGGTTTTCTGAGACTCCACGGGCCTCGTGCGGCTTTCAGTGAACGGGACGCGACCTCTGAAACCCTGCAAGAAAGGTCCTCAGGGGAATCCTGGGAACTCCTCCGATGCCTAAGTTAGAGAGAGAAGTAGATGTATAGTGAATAAGAGAGAGAATTGAGTAGGTCGAAGTTACCATAAATGCTGCCCCTTCGGGGCTATTTATACTAACTTAATGTTATGTCAGGCGGTCTAGGGCGCTTTTGGACTCATTAAATGCTATGCCGGTACAAATGTCTGACTCTCTCTATTCAGAGGGGCGTCAGTCCACTATGTCGGGCGGTTTGTTGGTATGTATGTACGTCAGTGTCGGGCAGTCTCCTCGAGCTGTGTTAGGTAGACCGCTACGACTTGGTCTATTTTTCTGTGGGCTTTGTAACCATGGGACTCAGGCCCACGTATCTCAATACTTGGCCCAACAGGTACAATATTGAACTTTATTGTTGATGAGCCTAAAAGGAATGCATGTTTGGCTCTTGAGTTGTTATTCTAAGTATTAAGCATGTGTATGTAATATATTAGATATATGGATAATTACTTAATTGGTTAATTTGATTTGATTGGTTAGCAGTGTCTGAAACCAAACCACCGAAACCAAACAAACTAAATTTTTTAACCAAACCAAACCAATTATCCAAATTAACCAAACTAAATTAGCCAAATACTACCGGTTAAAACGGTTACCATGGTAACCACACAGTTTTAACACCCCTACACAAAACAACCCCTTTCTTCAAACTCCCTTCTCCATTAAAACCTTCTTATCCTCCGACGAATCCTAGCCTCTCCACCTCTGACACTCAATCTCAGTCACGCGACGAGATCTGGTTGATGATGTGAGTTTGGGTTTGGTATTGATTGTTTTGTTATTAGTAATATTTTGGTATTAATTATTTTGTATTGGTATTAGTTTTTTCGTATTGGTATTGATTTCCGTGTAACGATAACACTTTTTTGTATTGATTTCATCGTATTTGTATTGATCTTCTTGAATTTGTATTTGGTAATATGTACTGGTATTGGTTTAATATGTACGGGTATTTTTTTATATGTACTGTAACTAGTATTGGTTAAATTTTTATTTGTGATATTTTGTATTAATTTTCTTGCATTGGTACTCATTTTCTTGTAATGGTAGTGATTTTTTTAGACAGTCGGATAAAGTATAGATGACAACAATCGAGAAATGAGATAGGAGGAAAATGATGATGCAGAAGTATAGAGAGGGAAGAGATAGAGAGAAGAGTTTAGTTTTTAAAAACTTCCTTTTAAAATGTAACTAATACAATGTAACTAATCCAAATATAATTAATAGATATTTTTTTAAAATAGTTTGCCCTTGATTTGCACAATGACCACTACTATAATGTTGGCACTATAACCTATTATGGATAGTTAGATGTTTAAATTAGCCTTAATGTTGTAATATCGCTTTAACTTTGTACAAATAGATAATTTGCCCCCAGGGATGAGTTTAGTTGCTAACCCCTTAGAAGTTGGTATCATACTAACTAAAGTAATTATCGTTAGATTAAAAATATCAATCCAAGAGCCAGAATGAAATAGAAGGCAGTTTAGTCAATATATTATTAAACCCTAATATAAATATACATTTTCACGTCCCACCCCTCATTCGGCCGCCCATGTCTTTTTCCCTCCCTCTCCCCCAGAAACCATCTTCTTCTTCGCCAGGAAACCGTATTTTCCCTGCCTCTTCCGTCTCCACCGTGACGCCATCGCTCCCGCCAGCCTCGCCATCGCCCGCGTCAGGCTCACCTTTGTCCTGTCGTTGGGTTGCCATCCTGAACTACTGATCAGGAACCCCGTCGTCAATGACATCCTCCCTCACCGCCCTCAACTAATCTCATATCTGTCTCAAGCAAGATCGTCGTAGCGTCGCCGTCATGCGGCATCAATGTCGATTACTAGATCTATCCCAGCAACACCGCCGTCTCATCTCTTTTAGCCGTCAAAATTGAAGGATCTTTGCAACGTTGACGGGTCTCTTCCAGCCGTGAGAACGCCGCCATCACGCAGCAGCATCGATCTCCTCTCCCCCCAACATCTCTCTACGTTGGCGGATCTCTATATATCGTGATAATGAGAATTGTTATATGCAGTAGTGATTTTCCATATTTGTAGTAACGTTTTCTTGTTTAATTAGTAGTAATTTTACATATCTGATTGAGATTTTATGGTATAGCAGTGGTTTTTTGGTAACCACCTATTTTAATCACTATAAATTGCTACGTAGGAAATATAAAACAATACAAGTAAATTCCTAAATTACTACTAATGACAATTAAATTGCTACAAGAAAAGTCCGAAATTACTACTAATGACAATTAAATTGATACGGGAAAGTCCCAAATCACTACTAATGGCAATTAAATTGCTACTAAAAAATTCATAAAATACTACAGATAAAAATTAAATTAAAAAACACTACTATCAACCCCCATAATCTTTTTCGATAAAAAATTACTAACACACAAATGAGAGAGAAAATATATTTTAATGTATTAATTATTTCTAATTTTGTGAAATACCGAACAAACCCTTCATCACTTATCATCGTCAGATTCAACTTAAAAAATGGACAGTGATTAGAGCATTTATTACGGTGCTAACTCCTATGAAGTTAGAACCCTAACCTCTCCCTTAGCGCCCAATGTTCAATAATAATAATAAAAACGACTCTAAGTTTCCACATTACGACAACTTTAGCCTAGTTATTAAGTTAACAATAAACACTAACGATCAACTTATTTAACAGTTAGTGACAAAAAATGAATGATGTGATTGTCGAGGGTCTTTTTACGAAAATATTATATTTTCTATAACAACTTATCAATTTAATGCAGTACTATGAAAATTATTTCCCAATTTGTGGTTTATTAATATGAATTGGGGGCACATGCGCTTGGATTAAATTTGTTGAGGTGAAAAAAGCATGGTTCATGAAACCGTACCGGAGACCGTACCGGGAAAGTCAACGGTAGGGTATTTTATGGTAAAACCGTGGTTTAGCCGTAGTTCAACCGTTATGCCGGTAAATACCGCCTATCAGTTTAGCCTCCAATACTGGTATTTCGTGATTGAACCGCCGGTACGATACAGTTTCATGGACACTGAAAAAAGCGAATTGGGGTGCAGATAAGCCTTATTATCGCATGGGAAGGCAAATAGACTATCGATTAGGGTTTTCGGTTTTTGGAAGGGAGGCGACCGGATAAATACCGACGGGGTTCTAAAAAGATGTTCCGGAATTGCTGATGGACCAATTTGTTATCAATTTTAGGTCGGTTTTAGTCTAGATTGGTTTTAGATATTAAATTCAATTTATTTATTAATTGTTTTGATGAGGTGGAATGCTGACCATATATATCTAACCGAAATTTGTATGACGAATAACAAAAGTGAATATTTTTTACAAAATTAAACTTTTGTGCTCTATCTTTGCAAATTAAAGATTATGACCATTTTATACTAAGCGTGCCCGTTTATGATAATTCCAGTTTCCATGAAACCTGATTTGGGCCTAATTGCACATGTTTGGCCGCCATTTTACTTAGATGTTTGTGCCAAATTCGTTCCTTAAAGGTTGGTTTTACGCTAGGTTCTTCGTGTTTGAGTGTGTTTCAGGATTTAACAGCGGAAACCCGCCTCGGAGTCGAAAGATTGCGAAAGGACCGAAAACCGGGAGGAGAGGTGAAAAAGAGCCAGTTCACGGCTAATTGAGGGAGTTCACGGTTATGCAAGACCATGAAGAAGAGGAGTTAACCATGAATCGCGAGGCGTCCAGAGCCAATGTGAAGGTTACTAACGCAAGGTGAGTTCACGGTCACTAAGACCGTGAACACAAACCGTTGACCGTGAACAGACGTGAGCGATGCAGAGCGTTTTGGCGCACACCTTGAGTTCACGGATGCGTTTGATGGTTCACGGCCGAGAACTCAGGCCATGAACTCAGGCCGTGAACTCAGCTCTTCTCGGGGTTAAAAGATGAGCTGAAAGGAGGAGAGAGGAGAGAGCCCACTGTTGTGTGAAACACCTTCTTCAGCATTCTAGTGAGTGAAACATAACCAAAGGGAAGAAGAAGGTTAGGGTTTGGCTTCAAGGCAGATTTTGGGGAGATTTCCCCCAAGGAAAACTCAACTCAAGGGTCAAGAAGAGGAGGGAGCATCCTCAAGATGGTTTCCACCTTTTCCCCTTTAGTTCTTCCCACTTCTAGCATGGAGTAGACCTCCTTTCACTTGGGTGTAGTGAAACCCTAACTCTACCATGTAGTTTTCTTGTATGTGTTTTGGATGATTGTCATTGGGTATTGTTCAATTCAATGATTGAGGCATTATTCACTATGATTGTGTATTCTTGTGCTTAGCAACTTAGGGATTGTGCATGTTTTGTGCTTAGCATCCTTAGGTTTGTGCATTTAGGTGCTTAGCAACCTAGGGATTGTGTATAATTGTGCTTAGCACCCCTAAGTTTGTGCATTTAGGTGCTAGTAATCTAATTTGCCACCTTAGCCTAGTTTAGAGAGGAAAATCCCCCTTTCAAGGGAGACTCAATCGAGTTGATTTTCCTTCCGCTTTCTAAGCGATATCTAAATACTTGCCCTATACTGCACCCGATTAGAATTTAAAAACTTGGGCTCTAATTATGATTTTATTGTGGTGTAGTTTCGTGCGAGTCAAACCGTACCGTACCGGTGGTTCAACCACAAAATACAAATATCGAACTATTGTTAAACCACAATTTTACCATAAAATACTCTACCGCTGACTTTTCCGATACGATCTCCGATACGGTTTCATGTAGTTAGATAAATATCCTTTTAACACAACCTTCGCTTCGTAGGCTTAAATTCTCTATGTAGTGGCGGTGACTGGTGAGCGGCTTAGCCTCCGTCTCGAACTCTATTTCACTTTTTCAGTTTAATTTTGTTTGTTTTTTTCTCTCCTTTTTCTTGCTCATTTTCCATCTGTCCCCGTCAAAACCGACCATTCCTGAGTTTAGCCTCCTCCCGCTGTTCTCTGAATGAGCCTTCACCGCCGCAGCTCCACTCCACCGGCGGATCTCTTTTCATCACCGCCGTCTACCGTAGCGGGCGCCCCCCCCCCCCCCCCCCCCCCCCAGTTTCTCTCTTACCAACCGGTGAGTGCCCATTTGACTGTTGTCTCTTTTGGTATAGATTTCGCTTTGGGTCGCAACCTGTCTCTCGGTGGCCGTCTCCCTTCCCCTCCTTATCTGGGTTTCATTTTGATTTTTGGGGCAATGTTGAGCTACTGCTTGAAAAGGGAGACTCCTACGAATCTTGCTCGTCGACTTTGCTTCAAAGTGATTGTTTTGCTTTTGCATGTATGAAAGCCTTTACTACTTCTAGAAATTCTACTGCTGTGAAAAGTTGGACTTATCTTTTCCTTCTCATTCTTCATTCCCTGCTTTGAATTTCCTTTTGTCTAGTTTTCTTAGTTTTGCAAATGAAGCTTGTGTCTTTTGGCTGCATTTGTAGTCTGTTTGGAGAAGTGTAAAAGAAAAAAGAAAAGGAGACTAGAGGAGAGACCTTTTTCAATACATGGGGGGAATGAAATTACTGGTGATGAAACGGGAAGCTAGCTGATCTGTATATTCTCCTTGTTTTGAGTCTGTGACTGTTTTGAATTAACATCAGGAAAAGGCAAATTTAATGTGATTAGCCTTTCCTATCTATCCTTCTTCCTTCCCCTTTCTTTAATCTTTAGCGGAGACAGGAAAAGTCAAGGCTGGGATTTGGGTTATATACTTATATTAACCGTCGGAACGATGCTGAGGTTTAAGAGGGCAATGGTATTTGTGTTGCTGTATACTCTTAAGACTTTTGATTGACCATGGCCAAGTCAACATGTAGTCTCCACTCGTTAGTCGGTCTTATTACAGGAATCTAACATTAGATTTCATTGAGTGTTATTAATGGTAAGAATTTTGATGCTGATTTGTGAATCCGCTTGGTTTGGGAAACTAGGTTATTCAAATTAGGACGTGGGTGACATGAAGACTGGTAAACACCAGGAAACAAGCAGAAGACAAGAGAAAGAAGATCATGGAAGTGTGGAAGGAGATGTTGCCAAGCTCTCGGAAGGAAAGCCCGGGGATGTGATTTGGACCAAGCTTTCTGGTCGTACATGGTGGCCTGGACTGGTATGCGAGAACATCAAACACATTATGGCTTGGTTTTTTCCCTATTGAGGCAAATTTGTGCTGTGAGTGCATATTCTCTGCTTTGGAGGACATTATTGAATAGGGCATTAGTCGGATGCTCCTAAGGGAAGGAGATGAGTAAGCACTAGAAATTTAATGTTTTTTGGATGCCAGAAAGTACTTGGACATTACTAGCGCACGCACTTGGTTTCAGTTTCCTCCTGGAACTTAGTTTCATGATATGTTTGTCCAATAGGTTCTTGATGAAGATGCGGTGGGTAGACGGAACAAACGTGGAAAGCGATCAGAAAGAGATGTTCTTGTTAGACTGTATGGAAGTTCTAAACAGTATGTAGCTTCCATGTTCATCACTTCTCTGCTGTCTGTATCCAGTATCATTTCTGTCCAAATTATCAACAGCAGCACTCCATGCTTACAATTTTAGATTCCAGCATAACGTTTACTTCTTTTTGCTTCTGTCAGGGTTTATGTTGATCCTATGAAATATCGTTCTGAGTTTGGTAATGTAAGTTTGTCTTGTTGGTTCATTTAACATTTTCTTTAATGTTTTGTATGTATCTTCTCCCTCACTTAATCCCTTTCAGATACTTGAACGGAATAAAGGCTGCTATCATGATATATTCTGGGAATCTCTGAAAAAGGTAGTTTAGTTTAACTATTTCTTTTTTCCATTAATGTACACTGCGATTAATATTTTATCACCTATCTAACTCTTGAATATGGTCTTAGGAGCTTCCCGATCTGGAATCTAATGGTGCTGAAGGTCAGCCATTTCTGTACACATTCCTTTTTCACTGCATTCTCCACATATGGCTTACTTTGTCCATCAAAGCATAAAAATGACGACTGGCTTACTAAATGCAACGACATGACCTAACTGTTCAAGAGAGTTGGTGAAGCCAGAAGACCTGTAGAAAAGGAGTTGGATTTTCATAGTTCATGAATGTTTAAAGAGAATCTAGTTATTATACAACATGCTTTTCTTTTGTTTTGTCTACCGTATCACTGTATTGATAAACAACTTTACACACAGGAGCAGGAAACGGGCAAGTTGATGGCCCTAAACTTAAGGAGACAACTACCTCAAACAATGAAGTAAGTAGGTTCTGATTTCGTGGGTTCTTCCTTCGTTCAACTGTTTTTGCATTCCTCTGGTGAATAAATAAACAATAGTAGCACATCGTCTGTTGTTGCTGTTGCATGACTGTATGAGCATTATTGCCATGCACAGGTGGCGGTTTCTCCGAGGAATTCCAAGAAAGATGGGAAACAAAAGAAACTGAAGCCAGATGATGCTGGAAACAAAACGCCTATGCACCATCAGGTGTGGCCTGGTAGATAGAGCTTCATTTTCCATGAGTATCTGCATATGATTTATATGCATGTTTTTCTTTCACGAATATCCGAAGTTGGTAATCCGAAGTTGGTAATCGCGGATATAAATTGATCTCAGGGTGGAAATCTTGGCGGAGAATCTGAAGAACAGACAGCACGGCGAGTAAAAGTCATGCAAACGCTTGGTCTGGTTCGGCCTTTTGGGTCTCCATTCTGAAGCTTTCTGGTTGGATTTTGGTGGCAATAACCTTTCGAGACCCAATTAATCTTTTGCTAGTAGTAAAGTGTGCTGTCAAAGTCTTCATTCGTTAACTTACCTGGGGATAAAATGTTTGTTTAGCTAATCATAGGTGCGCCCTGGCAATGGCGTCCATAGCTTATGACAGAATTCAGTCAAACTCAAACGATGTTTGTCATTAACACTTTTTAACAGCACTTGTTCTGTGCCTACATTTTGAGACTCACTCAACTGAAATTGTGAAGAGTTCCTTTCTTTCTCATACATTTGGGGAAAGAAACTGTAACTGAAGATCGCAGAGACCATTCTTTCGTGTGCCAAATGGCCTCTCTTTTAGTGAACTTGACTATTATATACATGCTAGTATGCTACCAAGAATTCAACACATGCATTCAAATTGAAAAGATGATAGTTCATGTCATAACTCTCATTTATTAAATCTAAGCTGACACGCTGTCTTGACAGATAATATTTTCATTTCTTTGTATAATATATTTTATGAATATATGTGAGCGTATCCATGTGTTTGAATAACTATTTTTTTTTTGACGGGAATCTGCTTAACTTATATTAATGAGGAGGGTTGATTACATTATCCAGCCGGGGCTGATCCATCATGAAAATCGGAGGTCTATCTACTCAAACCACTGCGGAGTCCTAGTTCGTCTCGCTATGCGCCATCATGTGTGCTGCTGCATTCTGCTGACACCTCACATGTTGCCAAACTCCAGTTTCCGAGCTTGCCAGCAATCGCCTAATACTTCGACAGATATTCCCAATCTCCGTTTGCACTGTGTTTGCCTCGTTCAGCTTCTGAATCAAGCTGAGACAATCCACCTCAAGAACAAGATTCTCATATTGAAACTGTCTCGCTAATCAGAGTCCAAACTCATCCGCCAAAGCCTCTGCCATCTCTACATCCAAGCTTCCCTTTATCTTCTTAGCTGCTGCGACGAGGAAGTCTCCTTGCTCATTGCGAATCACAGCTCCCAAACTTGCTCCACCTCCTTGTAGAATGCCCGCATCTGTGTTAATTTTAACCATACCTGCACTCGGTCGTTCCCATCGTTGCAACTCACTTCACATTTGTGGTGTCTCGTCCCGACCTTGGTACTGTTGGTAATCCTGGAGCAGCCGCCGTGCATTAGACACAATCATTGCTTCTTCACCTTTAATGCCATTGAAGCATTGTGCGTTCCTCTCTTTCCAGAAATACCACAGCAACATGCACCACTCCTCACAGACTGCCTCATCCATATTATGAAAGACCTCCTTCACCCATTCCAGCCTACTTCTTCCCTGCGCCCTCTCAAAGCAACCAACTAAATCTGTTTGCCTCCACAGCTTGCTCGTCCATCCACACTCACTGAACAGGTGAATTAGAGTTTCCTGTTGCCCACAGAAGGAACATCCATCTCCTCTCTTCTCACTCTTCTCGCTAAGGTGATCGCCGGTGGCCAGAATATCGCGGGTGAATCGCCACATGAAATGACGAACTTTCGGCGGGATATTCATCGACCAGAGCTTATTCCATAAAATGGCTTCTCCCACTTGTTCGACATTCTCGCAGCTTGAAACCTTTGAGCCAAAATCTATACCTATCTCGAACAGTGTACGCGCCTGTCTTGCTGTCACTCCAGATTAATCAATCAGGTTCCCCTTCCCCTCGCAGCGGAATGCACAAGATGGCTTTTACTAAATCTGACGTGAAGCAGCTGTTGATGATTGTGCAATCCCACTGTTCGGTTTCGGGATAGATCAACTCCCGTACCGCGGAGTCAACCTGTAACTCTCTTGGCTCTAAAGTAACGAAATTATTTTCCACTCCAGGGATCCAGCGATCGCCCCAAATCCGGACCGAAGTCCCATTCCCAATTCTCCATCTGAGACCGCTCACTAAAAACTTTTGAACTCCATGAGACTACGCCAAATATAACTTGGACGGTATCCCAATTGCCCTTCCAAAGTAGATGACGATTTATGGTACTTAGCTCGCAGCACCCGAGCTGCTAAAGACTCCGGCCTTTGATAAAGGCTCCAGAGTTGTTGGGGCAATAGTGCAATGTTAAAACCGCCTAAATCCCAAAATCCCTTGCCTCCTTCATTTTTCGGTGTTACCAGCGCTTCCCGTCGTATCCAGTGCACCTTGGTCTCGGTCCCTTTCTGTCCCCACCAAAATTTATTTATAATCTTGTGAACTTCATCAACCGTGCCTTGAGGGATTTGGAACACCGACATCGCATAAGTGAGCTGAGCTTGCGCCACCGAATTAATCAGAACTTCCCTTGCCGCTATAGACATGACTCTCTTTCCAGCTTTTCAACTTGTTCTTAACTCGCTCCTGGATGGCCACAAACATCTCCTTTTTTGATCTCCCAGCTTCAGTAGCCAAACCCAAATACTTGTCATGCTTCTCTATGATTTGCATTCCCAGTATCGAACCAACTTCGAGTCTTCTATGAGGTTTGACATTTTTGCTGAAAGAGACCTCTGATTTAGCAAAACTCACCATTTGGCCCGACTCTGCTTCATAGTCCCTAAAGATCTTTTTCAATTCAGTACATTCCTGAACTGTCACCCTGCCAAAAAAGAAACTATCGTTAGCAAAAAATAGGCGGGACACCGTCGGGGCTCCTCACACTACTTGGAAACCATGGATCCTTCATTCTACTGCCGCAGTCTGGGTGTATGACAAGAGTCCTTCTGCGCAAAACATAAACAAATACGGTGACAGTGGGCCGCCTTGACGTAGCCCTCGTTCTGGGGAGAACCTTGGAGATTGATAACAATTAACCAGGACCGAGAAAGTCACTGTCGAGACACACATCATCATCATTTGTACCCACCGTTCTTCGAACCCCAAGGCGCCTCATCACTTCCTCCAAAAAATGCCATTCTACGCGGTCATACGCCTTGGCCAAGTCCACCTTCGCAGCAAAATAGTCGGGGCTAGTCTTCGAATGCTTCTTCATGGAATGAAAACATTCGAATGCAGTGATAATGTTATCTGCTGTAAACCTCCCCGGAATAAAAGCACTTTGCTCCGGCGATATAATCTTCCCTAGAATCCGCTTCAGCCTGTTCGCCATCACTTTCGAAAAGATCTTATAAATGACATTGCATAAGCTAATAGGGCGAAAGTCTTTAGGTGTTCTAGTAGCTTTGATCTTTGGAATCAACACCATTAAAGTATGGTTCATCTCGCTTGGCAGCTGCCCGGAGCTAAGGATGCCCGCCACCGTCTCCGTTACTTCCTGTCCCACGATCAACCAATATTTCTGAAAGAAATACGCCGAGATCCCATCCGCCAAGGGAGCTTTGCGAGGCCCCATCTGTTTCAGGGCCGCGCACACCTCCTCTCCATTTATCGGCTGCAACAGCATCTCATTATCTTGTGCCGAAACCTTATGGGTAATGGTGTTTAGCACCTGGGTCGTCTCCAGAACAGTACCCGCCTGAAAAAGCACCAAATAGTAAGAGGTTAGGCATTCAAACAATTGCTCCTTTCCCGAGTACCACCGCCATGCCTCGTCCTGAAGCTTCTTAATGGAGTTGCGTTTCCTTCTCGCCGAGGCCTTCCTGTGAAAATGACTTGTATTTTTGTCGCCACCCTGTAACCAGTCTTAATGGTGTTGACTCTAACTCTATATTCCTCATTATCAAAGTAATAAAAAAAAGTTCAATAATTTATGCAGTTGAAGTGAGAGATATACTTCTTTTTATACATGCTAAACCCACCACTAGGACTAAAAGATCATCTTCTTTGCCGAGAAACCACTTTGCCTTGTTTTTTTTACTGAGTTAGATAGTTAATAAATACGAAATAAAAAAGATGTGAAAAGTAAATAGCGATAATCGGCCAAACGGATCCACCGATGCAAGAGTCGTTTTCGCCACGCAATAGGAAACCCTGTTAGTTTTACGAGGCGAGAAAACAAAACGAATAAACGCGAATGAGGCTTTCATCAACCGTACTTCTTCAAGGATCGCACCGTCGTGATTATACTAGACTTCATCCTCCGTCACTCGCCGGATCACCATTTGTGAATCGCCACAGAAACAAACAGAGGAAATACCCCGAGCTAAGCACCAATCCATCGCATCTTTCAACGCTAAAAGCTCCATTATAAATGGGTCAGATAACCCGTGATAATACTTACCATACGTGCACAGGACCGAAGCTGATGTCGAGAACCCAACAAAGCCTATACTCCCCCCCCCCCCCCACCTCTCGTCGAGTGGCACCATCGAAATGTATCAGCAGTCCCCCTGGAGGACAAGAAGGTGGTGGAGCAACCGATGGAGGGCGGCCAGAAAGATTCCCCCTATGGGAGACGGAAGAAGTTGTTGCAATCCATTCATCCCTTTGTTGTAGGTATTGCCGAAGAACAGGGTCGGGCAATTATTGAATGTGGTCATAACAAGACCAGCAACGGGCTTTTCAAATTCGCTATATGATGAACACCAACTCCGCCATCTCCAATTTGTTTATTTGCAGTGCAAGGAACACATGAGACCGGGCCAAATCAGGAGGCATACCCGCTATAATCACCCGAATGTGATCTTTCCCAGCCAGGCGCTAAATCCCTCGGGCTACCCTGCAATCAAATAGATAGTGAGAGATAGATTCAACATCTGATGAGCAAACATGACACAAATTCAAATCACTTAAAGTCTTGACGTGGAGAATTTCCAAACAAGGCAGAAATATTTTAATAACTCTCCACAAAAAGAACCTCAGCTTAGGAGGAACAGGCAGACTCCAAAGCATTTTCCAGAACCAAGAATCCATATGCGAGGGAAGGGAAGGGTATTTAATATCTCTGATCGCTCATCTGAGAGGAGATGGTATCTCGTCTTCACTGTATACTGGCATGTATCAGAGTAATACCAAATATATCTATCATGGTGATGCGATGATGGGATAGGAATAGAAAAAATCCACCTAATACGATTAGTGGTAAAGTAGGATCGGAGGAGATCCAAATTTCAAGAGCGAGTCAACAGATGAATCAGCGATGCCACAAACTGATTGCCAAGCTGAACTCCAGGTAGAATAAATGGGGAAGAGGGAGGGGAGGTAGGTAACCATGGGTCATCAAGAATTCAGATGGCTGTACCACACCCCACTTGCCATCTAAGTCCTTTTTGCATCAGTTTACGGCCTTCTAGGACACCTTTCCACCCCCATGACGGTCGAGTTCCCGTCAAAGCATGGAGAAAATCACATTAAGGATGATAGCGGGCCTTGTACATCCGAGCTAGAGTTGAATTGGGGGCATAAGGATTTCGAAGCCTGTTTGGCTAGCATTGGTACGTTGAAAATATCGAAGTCCCAAAATCCCAGGCCACCATGGAATTTACTCACACACACTGTTGGCCAGGAGATCCAATGTATCCCTTTCTCTTTGTCTTGACTCGCCCACCAGAATCGTGAGAGCTGTCCATTCATA